TAAACTAATTCTTTTTAAAACCAGGAATAAGACAAAAGAACAGCTTCTACATGAAAAAGAATAAAAGGAATAACAACTGGAAAGGAAGAAATAAAAACATTATTTACTGATGATGCAATTGTCTATGGAAAAAACAGAATCTATAGACACATTTAGAAGAAATTTTTTACAGTAGGGTTTATGTACAAAAGTCAACTGCATTTATAATAAACCAGCAACAAGAAAAAATATAATTTTAAAAAAAGCTCTTTTTCTAACGACCACACAATTATAAAGTACCTAGTAATAAATCTATCAAAGGATATACTATGCATGGAGAAAACTGTAAGTTTCTGGAAGACACTTAAAAGATTAAAATCTTTGAGAGGAAGATCAGTTTTATAAATGGCAACTTTTCTGCAAATCTATAGATTTAATATACTTTCAAAGAAAATTACAGCAGATTTTTTTAAATTGTGGTAAAATATACATAACATAAAGTCTACCATTTTAACCATTTTTAAGAGTACCGTTCAGTGGCATTAAGTACATTCATATTATCATGCTACCATCACCACTATCCATCTCCAGAACTTTTTCATCATCCCAAACTGAAATTCTGCACCCATTAAACAACAACCCCCCATTTGCGCATCCTCCCAGCCCCTGGTAACCACTATTCTACTTCCTGTCTCTATGAATTTGACGACTCTAGAGACCTCATATAAGTGCAATCATAGAATATTTTCCTTTTGTGACTGCAAGTTTGGGTTTTTTTTTTTTTGAGAAACTTGATAAACTGATATCAAAACTTATATGGAAGTGAAAAAGACCCAGAATAGCCAACACAATTCTGAATAGCTATTATATATTATTATATTATATCATTATAAATCTAGCATAATTGCACCAATGTATTGTTGGATTAAGATACACAAATAGACCAGGAACAAAATAGCCCCAAAATGGACTCCCACATATATAGAAATTTAGTAAATGCCAGAGAGGGCACTGCAGATCACTAGGAAAGGACAGTCAATCAGTAAATGGTGCTGGAACAACTGACAATCCCTAAAAGAGAGAGAAATGAAATGAGATCCCTTCCTCACACCACAGACTAAACCTAATGGATTCAAGAATTAAACATGAAAGGTGAAACTCTCAAACTTCAAAAAATACATATTTCATGATTTCAAAGTAGATGAGGTAAAAAAAAGTGTAGAATACAAAAGATTGATAAATTCACTTGTAATTTAAGAATTTATATTGATCAAAAGGCACCATAAAGAAAATATGACAAGCCACAAATTTGGAGAAGATAGTTGTAACATCTATAACAACAAAGGATAAAGAACCCCTAAAGATCAATAAGACAAAAATAATAGAAAAATTGGCAAAATACATGAACAGCCATTTCACATAGGAAGAAATACAAATGGCAAACAAACTTGTGAAAGCATGCTCAACCTTAATAGTAATAAGGAAAATGTAATTTAAAGTCACAGTGAGAAATTTTTTTTTATATTATATTGACAAAAATTAGGTCTGATAATGCCAAGAGTTGGTGAGGATATGGTTCCACAAGACACATGCTGCTGGGAGACACATGCCACTGGTGGGATTATAAATTTGTATAATCACTTTGAAAAATAATTTGGCACTATTTAATTAAGTTGGCATACCCCATAACACAGCAATTTCACTCCTGGGTAATATATACTATTGAGGAGTGTTTTTCAAACAACAGATTGCAAATCACTAATGGGTCATGAAATCAGTTTAAAGGATTGAGATCCATATTTAAAAAAAAATAAAATTAAAAAATATCAGAGAGCATTATGAGTAACAGGATAAGAAATTGTTTTATGAAACGTTTGCTTCAGTTGTGTCTATTGGGTGAGGGGGGGCTCTAAGGATGTGTGGGTGTCAGCGGTAATGCAAAATTTATTTCTTACTCTGAGTCATGGCTACTAAATTTGAAAGCCCTGTAGAGACGCTTGCACACATTCCCCAGAAAAGATGTACAAGATTTTTCACAAGAGCTTTGCGCAAAATATCCAAAACAACTCAAATGTCTACTGATATTAGAGATTAGAATGGATAAGTAAATGGTGGTATATACACATAATGAAATATTGTGAGCAAAGAAAACAGCTTTTCAGCTACACATAACAACTTGGATGAATCTTAGAAACAAGATATTGAGTGAAAACAGGAAGCTACAGAATACCACATACATTACGCCTTATTTATCAAGCTTAAAGACAATACTAAAACATCAATAGAAACAACCAAAAGCACGGCTTCTGAAGCCAGCCTATCTGGGTTCAAAACCTAGCTCTGTCACTCATTAGCATGTAACCTTGGGCAAGATACTTAACCTCTGTGCCTCAGTTTCCTCATCTGGGAAATGGAAATAATAACCTACCTCATAGGGTTTTTAGGATTAAAACCCATAAAGTGCTTGGAACAGTGAATAGGCAATAAAGAAGGAACACAAGTAGAAAGAACAGAATTAGCAATGTTTTGGTTCTTAAGTTGGGGAGTGGGTGCATATGAGCATCGATGTTACATATTCGTCTATCTTTTGTATATATCAAATATTTAAAATTTAAACAAGAGTGAGTTGTGCCATGTCAAGGCTCTTCGTACTCAGGCTCAATAAGAAGACACTGAGGGCCAAGGATGGTGACAGCCTGAGCAGTTACATACCTGGTTCTCAGCTTGTCACCTCCCGACTCGGCCCAGTTTCGCAGCAGCGTAATGAATGGTCTTTCTTCATACTGTTTGGTGTATTGAGCCAGCAGTTCCCGCACCACAACCTGTGCATAGAGTTTATCATTTGTCAAAAATGTAAAAAATGCCAGAGTGTCTTTAAATGCTGCAGCCAGATAAGGTCTATTTGCTTCGAGCAAACTCCTTGGAAGGAATCAAATACATGACCTCATACTTCCAGGGGCCTCCATTTCCCATGGCAAATGTGTAGTCTTACCTTACCACTCTCAATCCCTCCCCCCGGGGCCAACTTGGCTAACTAGCTAACTGCTCACTGCTCTCTCTCTCTCCTTGAGACATCACCTTCTAATGCCAGTCCCAGGACTAACTCATTTAGTTGACACTTCAGATGGACCAGATAAATGGCTGGTCTGTTTTCTTTTTTGCCTCTGATACTCTATGGTTAATTAGGCCTTTAGGGAATAGTATTAAAATGCACACATAAAATAATCTCCATCAATCTCTTCCTTCAGCAGCTTTAAAGTTATAATTTGGACCTAAAATACAGCACACTTTTCCAGGTTTGTTAAAAGATGTCCATGGCTAGCCTGCTGCAGAGAGAGGCCCAGCTGACAGCTAGCAGCAGCTGCTAGACATGTTAGTGGGACCACCTTGGACCAACCTGCCCCGCCAAGCCTCTAGCTGACTATCACGGTATGAGTGAGCCCAGGCAAGACCAGCAGAAGAATCACTCAGTGTGAGCCCAGCCCAAATTGCCGACCTATAGAACCACAAGCTAACAATTGCGTGTTGTTTCAAGGTACTAAATTTTGGGGTGGTTTGTTCCATAGCAATAAATAGCTGATACAGTCTCATATGACTACCAATTTTAGAATATTTCCTTCTTTGTCTCATACACATTCATGTTTTTATGTAGATTATATGTTATATATGCTTTCAATCAACAGTATACCATAAGTGATATTTTTGGTTCGCAGGGCTTTTTGGATTCTATTTCTCTGTTTAATGACTGTATAACATTCTTTGTTTGGAAAAATCACAGCTAATTAAATCTTCCATTCAATTAGATATTCAGGTTGTTTCCAATTTTATACTGTCATTGAAACCTTGATATCAATATATTCAGACAAATAGCATTGTCCTTTATTTGATTATTACCTGAGAATAAATCCCGTGAGCTTGACTGATGCAAAGGTTCTTAGAGGGCCACTCTGCCTACAAGAGGGATGTTGGAAACTTGTCAGGGCATATTTGCTGGGGGTGGCTTTATCGGCATTGGTGGGCAGAGCCAGGCGTGCAATGCATAGGACAGTCTCAACCAATAGAGGACTGTGCCACATACAGCATCCTGTCAAATGTCATGTGGTCAAACGCAAGCAGTCAATTGATAGCCCAGAGCCTAACTCAGTCATGCCCAAGTTTTCAGGTTCTTCCCAACCTGGGCCTGTGGAAGGATTAAACTCTCCTTTTCCACCTGGCCATAGGACTCGCTTTAGGCCAGTGACACGCAGGCTGGTGCAGTCTTCCCAGTTGTGACTGGTCCATAGTCTGCATTGGAGGCTACCACAGTAACTTCACATACAGATGCAGGCATTGCTGTCTTACTATGTTGTTATAAATTACTTTCCCTTTGTTTCTTTGAAGGAGTGTCTTGAATTCTTGAAATTATGTCTCTACATAGGTTATATTATCCATGATTTCATTTTATGATAGAAAAGAGGGTGTTACAAAATATTTATTATAAAAAAGAGGGCATTAGACAACGAGCTCAAGAATCACTGTATTATGGGTCAAAGGACATAAATATTTTTAAGGCTGCCACTATACAAAATAAGTGTGAAAATCAAACACTGCTGGCAATGGGAAAAATTAACTAACTTTGACTAGAATTAAAATTAAAATGATAGAGCAATCAACTTCAGTTTCACTGACACATCAATAGGATTAGTATTTACATTCTTTGTCTTTGCAAATCTATTCAATTTATGATGGCTCTAGCTCTAGCTCCCTCTTGTTACAAGAGCAACATCATTCCCAGCATTAAAAATTGCTTTCTCGGATTCCCACCCCTCCATTCCTTTACGTTGCTTTATTTTTCTGAATTGCATTTATTGCTACCTGACGACAGAGCACACAACGTGTTTATTGGTTTCTTGTCCTTCTGCTGCCTGGGAGTTCAGTGTCAGGAGGCTGGAGTTCCTTGATCCTTGTGCTGTTCAACAATGTGTGACAGAGCAGAGAGTTGAGGAATCTTTCGTGACTGAGTGAATGAATGAATAAATTCCCTTCTTGTTTTCAATATTTTATCCAATCTGTTCAACTCCTTAATTATTTCCTTTAACTTTTGTCACTACATCTACTTTTCCAATTTAAGAAACTTAAGTTGGGAAAATTAATTCACTCTAACTAGATTTAAAATTAGAAGAACATAATAATCCAGTTCAGATGCTGAACTTAAATGATAGACAAAGTAGGGGCCAGCCCCATGGCCAAGTGGTTAAAGTTCCACATGCTCCGCTTTGGCAGCCCGGGTTCACGGGTTTGGATCCCAGGCGCAGACTTACACCACTCGTTGGTGGCCATGCGGTGGAGGCGACCCACGTACAAAATAGGGGAAGATTGGCACAGATGTTAGCTCAGGGCTAATCTTCCTCAAAAAAAAAAAGACAAATTGGGTACTGGCTAATATCACAAAAGCAGATCATTCAATTTGGATCTTTGCTCCTTTTTCTTTCCTTTGTGCTCCTTGCTTTTGGCATCTTTCTTCCATTTCTAGGTCATGAGACTAGAAAACATGCTTTTAAAAATGAGTTGATTTTCTGCTGTTGATGCCTCCTGGGTGAAAGATTAAGTGATTGAAGCTACCAGCTACCACGGGGCTTGTGCATTACAGTCTCTAAATCCAATAGTTGATTTGATAAATGACCAGGGAGAAGCACTGAGAGAGCAGTCACGATCCAGATGGAGTGTGCAACGATGATGTGCTTGTTTTCACCTCATAGGTGTGTCCCTGAACACACTAGAGTATACTATATTATATATACGTTTATATATAAAATTTTTAAACTTTCTATTTTAAAATAATTATAGACACAAAAATTTGCCAAATTAAAATAGTACAGAGAGGTTTTGTTTAGTCATCACCCAGATTCCCCCAAAAGTGATATCATACACAGCAACAGTGATTATCAAAAGTAAGAAATTCAATCAAATTTTTATACCTTGAATGTTTTAATTATAGTAGAGATTTCATTATTTTAAAATGAACCCAGTAGTAGATCATTTTGAAAATGAAATATTATTTTTTGCAATACATAATTACACCTTAGCTAAGTCTGGTGTTTTGAATGCTTACATAAACCAGATTTTCTTAGGATCACTTGTGACGTCATTTCTTTCTAGGTGATTGTTTTTGTGATGGTGGTGTTTCTGTGGCTATTGACGTAGTTCTCCAGTTCTAAATGGGAAGACTCTTTCTTTTCTTCTATATCCTTGATTAATTCACAGTGATTGGGTCCTGGTGCACCTGCTCTGGAGCCCCTTTCTTAAGAGAACTCTAGGGGACTGAGCAGTCAGAACAGCTATATTCTTTCCTTTTAAAAAAAGATTCCCATCTGTGAGAGGAATCAAGCTAATCTACAGCCAACATTTGGAAACTCTGAGTCTAAGCAATTGTGCAGAATAATGACATCATAAACATGCATTCATAATGACTCTCATATGCATCAGGCAACGCTGATTATGTAACATCAATAAAAGTTATTTTTTAGGTCAAATGGCTTTTCAAGGCATCTATGAAGCATCCAGCATTTCTACACACTAAGTATTTCACTGATTTATGCCAGGTACAGTGAAACCTGGATTAAAAAGTCTAACAAGAAGTGCCTGCTGCCAAGGCAGAAACACTTAGAGCCAATTGGAACAGAAAAAACGTGGTGTCTAAGGAAAAGCCACCAGACGTCATCTACTCTGTAACAAGGATGAGCCAGGCAGCCAGGCCCACTCAGGTTTGTACCACGTGGGTCGACAGTCATTCAAAGTGGCAGTCCTTAAGGCATTGGGGTCCCAAATCATGCCCCAGGCAGAACTAGCTACATAATTTGAGGCCCACGGCAAAACAAAAAAAAGACCAAGCGAACATGAGTCTCCGCCAAGCATTTTAACTTTTTGCCTCTTTTAGATGCTGTACATCCCCTCAAGGTAAGATTTCTTTGAGGAGAATCTGTAAAGATTCCTTGGCTAGAAGAAAAGAAACAGAGAGAGAGAGAGAGAGAGAGAGAGAGAGAGAGAGGGAGGGAGGGAGGGAGGGAGGGAAAGGAGAGCTGAGGAGAGGCGAGGAAGAACGACTTTCAATTCACACATAAACCAGCATGTACAATGTTCTGGTAATTGCTGGGCCTTACACATGGATTCGAACTTTATCCTAAGGAGGATGGATGGGTCCAAAACAGTGATTTAAGCCCAGCAAAAATTCATGCACCACTCAACTGAACCTAAGAGAGGTTAGTTTTTGTTTGTTTGTTTTTTAGTTAAATCTGGACGAAATTTAACTTACCTTCCCAATGTCTCTTCTCAATAGAAAATAAAGTGCATCTTTGTGGTTTCCCTCCTTCATTCCACCCACATTTATGGAGCACCTATTATGTACAAGGCACCTGCTGTCTACATTGAGTACAGTGGGGATTAAAAAGATGAATAAGAAACATCTGTCCCTCTAGGGCCTTCCATTCTTGGAGAGGAGATCAGCATTCGCACAAACAACTCCACTGGGTGGCAGCTGTCAGGAACATGACAGGCACAGAAGCACAGCAAGTCAAAGGAGATCCCTTTACTATGAGGATATGGGAAGGCAACTGGAGGAAGCCTCATTCACGGATAAGTTTCATTCATTTGTGCATTCATTTATTCAACACCTAATAGTAACAACTGACTTTCTCTTTCAGCATCTACTAAGGCTAAGCTCTGTTCCAAAGTCTTTACATGGAATATCTAACAACTCTAGGTAGTTATCAGAATCATCCCATGCAGATAAGGCAACTGAGGCCTGGAGAGGTTAAGCTAGTTCCCAGGGTCACACAGTCAG